GCAGCAGCCGCGTGGCTGCCTGGGCCTCCATGGCCTGGCGGGTAGCATGGCCCAGCTGCAGCTCCAGGTCGTTGAGGTCGCCCTCCATCTTCTTCTTGAGCCGCAGCGCCTCATTGCGAGCCCTGGTCTCTGCATCCAGGGAGGCCTGCAGGGACTCCACTGCCCGCTGGTGGTTGCGCCTGTGGGAAGGAGGAAGGGTGGGAAGGAGGAAGGGCAGGAAGGGTCTCGGCCTAGGAGAAGGGGGCAGGTACAGGCACTGGACCTGCTCTTACAGATGCCCAAGGAATGCTGCAGACGGGAACCCATTGTGGAAGTGACCTGTCCCCACCCCATACCGGCACCCCCAAGTAAGTTCATTGACAAAAGTGAAACTCCAGCCAGACGCAGGCTGAACCTGGGATCTACCTGCATTATGGAACCTTGAGCAAGTCCTTTAGCTTCTGAAGTTCACTCTATCCTGGGGACGATAGTCTTGCCCTTGACAGGCCCAGAGGAGGGGCAAACTTTTAAGTGTCGGCAGGCACAGAGGGGCCTGGCAAACACTGCTAGCCTGCCTTTCTCCTGCCCTCAGGCAGCTGGGATGGGAGAGGTGTCCACCCCCAGAGGAGGAGTGGAGCCCCGAGTGTGGTGGATAGGGAGGACTCTAGCCAAACCTCAAGTTAGTGCACTCCTCATCTTTCTCGGCCAGTTTCCGGTCCACCTCAGCCTTGACCTGGGATAGCTCCAGCTGGATCCTCAGAGTCTTGGTCTCCTCCAGCTCTAGAGCTCCCTGGAGTGCAGAACAGGGAGGATTGCAGAGCATGTGTCACAGAAGAACAGAGGCCTGGGGAGCAGGCCAGTGGCCACCCCAACCCTCTGGTCAGCCCCTAACCTCCGCCTCCTCCAGTGCGGCCTGGAGTTCACTCTTCTCCCCTTCCAGAGCCTTTTTGGCTTTCTCCAGTTCCTGGATGCTCTTCCCGCTGAGGCTGACTTGATCTGTGAGGTCACTGATCTCCTCTGCAGAGTGAAAAGCACAATGAGGTGCGATGCCCCAGCCTTCAGCTCCAACCCAGGTCATTTCATTCACTCCTTATTCCAGGGGAACCCCGCTGGGGCACTCCTGCCGACCCCAGCAACACAGCTCTCCAACCCGAAGCAGGGGCGGGGGAGGAGGGCAGCGTACCCTGCAGGTTCTTGTTCTCCCGCTTGAGCGTCTCCAGGGCCTCCAGCGCCTCCTCATGGCTGTGCCGCAGCCGGAAAAGCTCAGTGCCCAGGCCGCGGGCCTCCCTCTGGGCAGCCTCCAGCTCCCGCTGCGTCTCCTCCTCCTGCCTCCGCCGCTCCTCCAGTGCCCGCTCCAAGTGCCGCTGCTTCTTGTCTAGCGCAGCAGCCGCTGAGGTGGCCCGCTCCAGCTCAAGGGTCACGTCCTCTGACTCCGTCTGCAGTCGCAGCTTGGCCTTCTCCAGGGAGGAGCACTTGGCATGAGCAGCCTCCACTCCCTCCTCTGCTTCCTGCAGCCGCAGTGCCAGCTTCTTTCTAGGCCATGGAAGCCAATGGTGGGAGGCTGGCAGCAGTCCCCAGATCTGCCCGCCCCCCGCCTGCCCCCTGATGGCTCCGAGGCTCGGGCACCACCCCTTCGTGGTGTCGGGCTTGTGGGCAAGACACTCACTTGGCCTCCTCCAGCTCCTCGGTCCTCTGGATGGCGTCTGCCTCATACTTGCTCCGCCACTGGGCCACCTCAGCATTGGCCTTGGACAGTAGCCGCTGCAGCTCAGCCTGGGCCTCTGCCTCCTCCTCGTGCTGCTCTCGCAAGAGGTCACAGTCGTGCCGCAGAGCCTGGACAGCATGGGCCAGCGCGCTCTTGGCCTGCAGGCACCTCAGGAACCTCAGCACGGGGCCGGGCCAGTGGCCCTAGTGCCCACCCTGCCTGCTTGGGGGCAGCCCGTGGCTGGCCCACCTTGCTCTCCTCTTCCAGCTGCCGCCGCAGTTCCTCTAGGCTCTGGGTGGCAGAGGCCTTCCCCCGGCTCAGCTGGCTAATCAGAGACTCCTTCTCCTCCAGCAGGCGGCTCAGCTCCCCTGCACACGAAGGAGTGAGCCCACAGGTCATTTGGCCCCTGAGAGGGGTGGCCCCAAGGCCCTGGGGGTGGCCCAGCTGAGCCCCTGGCCTCACCACTCTCGGTCTGCAGCCGCCCCCGCTGAGTGCTGGCATCCACCAGCTGCCGCTGCAGCTCTTCCACCTTGACCTTGGCCTCGCTCAGCTGATCCTCATAGGTCCGGCACAGCTTCTCCGCACTGGCCTGGGACCCAGGATCAGGAGTCAGAACACATTTGCCCATCACCAGCAGTGTCCCAGGCTGCCAGTCGGAGGCTGGGACCCTGGGGTTGGGAACTAGAAGGCTAGACACGGGCCCGGGAAGCAAATGGAAAAGCAGAACCCCCCATTCAGGGTCAGAGAGTCTGCTGGACCACGGTTTAAAAAGATGGGTGTCAGAAGTGAGAGGGCCAGGGTGAGTCTGGGATCCTAGAGTCAGAGGTCAGCTGTCAGAACTGGTGGTACAAAGGTCAGGGGTCAAGGTTGGGTGCTGGGTTTGCGACAAACAAGATAGAGATCAAGGACTGAGACATTAAAATTAGATGCTAGGTCACAAATGACCTGGAATCAGGGCACAGAGTTTATTAGGAGTTAGTGTTTGAGGTCAGGACTGGCGTGGGGCTAGGGCTGCAGGACAGGTGAGTAGGTCAGGGGACAGGGTCAGGTCCAGGGTCAGCACTGGCAGGGGGTGGTCAGTGGGTGGGGTCACCACCAGAGTAGAATCAGCTCAGAGTCAAGCTGGGTATGGCATAGGAACTCAGCAGGCAGGGTCGGAGGCTGGGTCAGGAAGGGGGCGGACACCTTGCCACGGGCCAGAGTCTCCACGTTGGCGCCCAGATCATCCACCTCCATGCGGAGCTCGCTCTTCTCCTTTTCCAGCTTCTGCCGCACCCGCTGAAGACTGTCCACCTGCTCGCCCAGCTCGGCCGCGCTCTCGGCCTGTTTGCGGCGCAGGGCAGCCACGGTGGCCTCGTGCCGAAGCGCTGCCTCCTCCAGCTCCCGCCGCAGCCGGCCCAACTCGGCCTCCCGCTTGCGGCACCCCTCCCGCTGCCCCGCCGACGCCCCGCCAGCCTCCTCCAGCCGCTCGCTCAGCTCCTCCAGCTCCCGGGCCACTTCGGCCCTCTGCTTCTCCACACGGGCCCGGGCCGCCCGCTCGGCCTCCAGCTCCTCTTCCAGCTCCTCTGCCCTAGCCTGGGGATGGGCAGATGGCAGCAGTCACCTCCATGGGCCTCTGGCCCTGGCCGTTCCCACCCCCGTGCCCCATACACACCTGCAGTTCCTTGATCTTCTTCTGTAGCTGCGCCCCAAGGAGCTGCTCATCTTCCACCCGCAGGTTCAGCTGACTTAACTCTGAGTCCTTCCTGGAGGTAGTGCGAGGTGTGAGCCAGGGCAGACCCAACCTTCCATCAACCTGCCTGGAAGTTCCCCCGCCTCCCAGCCCTCCCACCTCCCTGCTCCCTGCCTGGGGCACCAAGCCCTACGGGGCCTCACCCCACCCCCGCTGTCCCTCTCAAATCCCCAGCCTGGAGCCTGCCGCCTACACCCTAGTGATCCCTGCCTCCATCCTCCATATTCAACTTCCACAGGGATGCAGAAGTGACCATAGAGTCCAGAGGGAGAAATGGGGCACAGGCTTCGGAGATTGCCTGCAGGCCAGGGGGTCAGGTCTGCTGCCCCCCCTCAACCTCATCCCTACTTCTTGAGCTTCTCCTCCAGCTGCTGCTTGTCCTGGGCAGCATCTGTCACTGACTCCTGCGTCAGTTTCAGGTCACCCTCAAGCTTGCGCTTCGCCCGCTCTGTGTCCATGCGCAGCTTCTTCTCTTGCTCCAGGGAGCACTCCAGCTGTGAAGCCAGAGGGGTGGGCAGGCTCAGCCACCAGGTATGGCAAGCCATCGTCCCAGCTGCTCCAGCCCCACTACACAGGCCTCTGCTGTGGCCGGGACTCACATCTTCCACTTGCTGCTCCAGCCGGAGCTTGGCCTTGGCCAGTGCGCTCACACGGTCCTCCTCGGCCTGCAGGTCACCCAGGGCCTGCTGGTGGGCCTCCTGCAATGCCTTCTTTTCCTTGGTCAGTCGGGCCACTGACTCGTCCAGGGCCGCCATCTCCTCTGTCAGGTTCTTCACCTGTGCCAGGGTCACCGTGAGGATGCCCCTCCCACACTGTGGTCCGAGAAGCCACCACACCAGGTCACAGTATCCCCCCCTTCCAACTAGAGGGCCTGGAGCAAGTCACTTCACCCTGAGCTTCAATTATCAATAGATGCCAGTTTCCTTCAGTGTAACATGTTCTAGACAGTCCTGGCTTTCCCTGGGAGCACCTGAGCAAGCAGCCCACTCCCAGCCTCCTTTCCCCTCCCAGTGCCCCAGCAGCACATGGCATCAGAGGCCTCTAGGGGCTGCGGAGCTGGGAAAGCAGCTTCCTACCCCTCAAGAGGCTTGCTGGCCAGGATGGATGACAAATGCCAGCATCTGCGGAGCACTGCCATGTGCAAAGCCCGGGGTGAGTGCTAGCAGAAGCTGGTTACACACTGAATTCCCCCACCACTCTAACAAGGTAAGTACTGCTATGAACCCCATTGGGCAAATGAGCAAACTGAGGACCACAGAGAGGAAGCAAGCTGCCCAAGGCCACCCAGCAGGCATATGCCCTCGAGCCGGGAGAGAGAGAGAAGCCCCAGCCAGGCCCACACCTTGTTCTCTGTGGCTTGTTTCTCCTTCTCTGCCTTGGCCAGCGTCAGCTCCAGGTCATCAATGTCCTTCTTGAGCTCCGTGCACTCGTCCTCCAGCTTGCGCCGGCGGGCAGCCAGGTCAGCGTTCACCTCCTCCTCATCCTCCAGCCGCTCACTCAGCTCCTTCACCTTCGCCTCCAGCTGCACCTTGGACTTGATCAGCAAGTGGCAGCGCTCCTCCGCGTCTGCCAAGTTGTCCTGCTCCTGGAGAGGGACGTGGGGAATGAGCCGGCCAAGGGACCCCAGGCTAGGCCCTGGAGCAGGAGGTTCATGTGTCTGGGCAGAGGTCTGACAGCCATGCAAACTGGGCTCTGGGGACCAGGAATGCCTGTGACCTTCCTGCTTGTGGCCCCAGGGGGCTCAAGGGTGGTAGAATGAGGGTGGGCTTGAGGAGATGGGAGGGCAGGGGCAGAAGTGGTACCCTGGAGAGGGGAACCTCCATCACACAGGCTGGGGGCAACCCAGAGGGACATCCCAACAAAGGCTCTAGGGGAGAAGCTCTGGGCTGAGGCCTTCTCTCCCACCTCAACCCGTTTCCTCACCACCTGGCTGCCTCACACCCCCCTGCACTAGCAGCTGAATTTGGTGACCACACCCCGCCTTCCCACCACCATGTCTCCAGAGCCACCGTGAGGCCTGGCACACAGGTGAGACTCAAGGTTTGCGGCAGGAAGGAATGGCTCTGTGGCTTGGGGAGATTCCAGACCCCAGGTCCCTGCCACCTGGGTTCCCGCAAGCAGGGAGCAGGGGTGTGTTTCAGGGAGGGCAGGGGAGAGGGGGCTCCACTGTGGCTCCAGCAGGGAGCCCAGAGAGCACTGGTTCAGGAGCATCAGGACACGTGGACAGACTGTGGGGGGCAGGGGGCGGGTCGCTAAGCATGGACGTGAGCACACCAGCCACATCTCCCAGCACATCTGGGACTGGGAAGAAAGATCCAGATCCAGAGCACCCACGGTGTACCAGGTCCCCCCTGGCTGGGGAGGGAGTGATTATGTATTTCCTCAATGCAGCCTGGGGTTCTCTGGGGTGCCAGGGGGCACAGGTCACCAGGGGAAACTCCTCTCTTCCCTTCTCCCACTCACTGCCTGCAGCTGCAGGGCCAGGTCGTTCTTCTCCTGGGTGACACTGACGTGTGTCTCCTCTAGCTCCTGGCGCTTGGCCTCCGCGGTGGCCAGCGCCCCTCGCAGTCCCCGCAGCTCTGCCCGCAGGGCTGCCAGCTCCTCCTCTGCCTGCGCTGAGCGCAGCAATGGCTTCATCTTGAAAAAGAGCTTCATCCATGACCAGTTCTTGACAGCGTTGAAGGCACGGATATTCCACTGGATGGTAAACAGCGCGTCCCTGGGGAGGGAAAGCCACAGGTGGCTGGGAGGCTTGGGGCTGTCCCCTCAGAGGGCACCTGCCCTGGGCGAGGCTCCTACTCAAGCATGTGATCTCTTTTCATCTTCCCAGCAGCCCTTCCAAGGGGGTCTAATGCCTCTGCTTTATAGGTGAGGTCGAGAGAGAAAGAGGCTGAAGGGCAGATGGCCTGCCTCCAGGCCAAGGGCTCACAAGCCCTAATGTCCTGGTGTCCTTTGCTAGTGTCCTGAAGATACCAGGAATGTACCCAGATACACTGTGGGCCCTGGGGCAGTCTTAGTTGGTCTCAGACTCACACGGCCCTTCTGCTGGAGATAATCACAGTGCCCACCTCCATGGGAGCGTTGTGCACTTTAACCAACATAATGCAAATAAAGCCTCTTGCCTGGGACCTGGCACTTAGAGTCTTGGAAAACATTGCGGGTCATTATTATTGTTTGGGCCACACTCTGGGTAGCCTGCAGTGGAGAGAAAGGTGCTCTTGCCCCACTTTTTGAGGGGAGGAAATGCAAACTGGCCCGTGAGGGGCATAAAACAGAACCTTGCCCCTTCAGAGCCACCTGGCCAGCCCCGGGGATAAGCTGACCCAGATGACAGAGAAGGTGAGTGTGGCAAGCCTGGGGGTCCTGCCCCCATTCCTGGCCCCTGCTCCCATCCCACACACACCTGCCCCCAAGCAGGCGCTGGTACTCGAGGCGCATGAGGCGGCCCCGGCTCCGTGCCTGCAGCAATGTCAAAACCTTGGCCAGACGTTGGTCACGAAGCTCCTCCAGAACACCAAGGAGCCCAGCTTTGAAGAACACCTGGGGTTAGGAGACGTACCAGGTGTAAATCCCAACCGCCTGCATGGCTCCTGTCCACTGTGACCACCCACACCTCGGCCAGCCCTCAGTCCCATGTGCCCTGACCTTGGTGTGGCCAAACTGGTACTGGGTATGGTCAATGTCCAGGGAACCCAGGAGCTTCTCTGTGGCCTTCCTGCTGTCCACGAAGGTGTCGTCCGGGATGGCACTGGGGTTCAGGATGCGGTACCTGGGAGAGCAGGGAAGCACTGGTGAGGAGGAGGCCAGACAGGGAAGCTTAGCAGAGGCTAGACAGAGGCTCCAGGGGGGGTCCCAGCTGAACAAGCCAGCAGGGGAGCATGGTGGCAACAGTGGGGGAGAGGTTGTGTGTGAGCACATTCTGCTTAAAAACTATGGGTTGCATTTAAATGCATTCTTTAAGTTCTCTAAGAGATTGTGTTTACAACAGGCATGCCGCACTTTCAAGAATATAAAGGTGATACAGTATGGTGTATCAAAGCTCAAGGAACATTTGAGGAGAATCTGAAACAAGAACAAGGGTTCCTAGCACGGCCAGGGGTCTGGGTGGTGGTCACACTATGAAGGCCAGAGAAATACGAAGAGCCCTCCTGAGGGGGCTGGTGAACAAAGCACAGCTCACTAGGCTATGGGCTATTTCACAGCCATAACACAACGAGTGATGCTACATGTCCCTATACATTTGTCCAAACCCACACAATGTCCACCAGCATGAGCAAACTCTAAACTACAGACTTTGAGTGGTTATGGTGTGTCATCAGCTGAAACAAATGTCCCACTCTGATGAAGGATGCTGATCCTGCGGGAGGCTATGCATGTGGGGTGGGGGTTACAGGTACATCGGAAATCTAGGTACTTCCCCCTTCATTTTGCTATGAATCTAAAATTGCTCTTAAAAATCAATTAAAAGAAAAAGGTGATGGTTCAGACTTATGTCTGCTGACAAGGAGCATTCTCTTTCTCTTACATGAGAAAAACTCACAAAACAAGGGTTGGAGGAGAGAGGTTGACAGCGTGCACACACACGAGAAAGTACGTGTGTAAGCATGCCCGCCACACTTGTGTCTGTGTGTAGGGGTCGGTCAGTGTGGATGACCATGGGGACTTCAGGAGAGGGAGGGAACTGTTGGCGCCTAGAACCTAACAAAATCAAACTTGGGGAGGGGAGGGGAGGGAGCGCACTGGCTGGTATCACATGAAGTCTAGTCTATGGGGGCCCCTCACTCAATTCCCAAATCCACACTCAGCTCGGTGTGCCCCTCTTCGACTTCTCTTCTCTGACATCTGCTGAAGACATTTCAAACTTGACTTGTTCAAAGTGGAACTCAATCCACTATCCCTCTACCCCAAAAAATATATTAAAAAAAAAAAAGTCTTGGTATCTCAGCAAATCTACCACCAACTCCCCAGTTGTTCAGGCTCAAAACCTGGGATCATCCTTGTCTTTTTCTTATTCCCTATCCAATCTACCAACATGGCCTATTGGCTACACCTCAAACACTTACCCCAAGCCACCCAGTACGCTCCCATCTCAGCTGTCACCATCTCCCCCTGAGAAGCCTGCCCAGTCATCTCCCTGGTCCTGGTGTTCCCCTCAGGAACTGAATCTCAGTCCTGGGACCCTGGATCCATTTGGCTTGGTGTGTGCCCTTCCCATTCCCTCAGACCGCTGCCTCCACCTAGGGAGGAGAGCAAGGGGGCTTTGGGTAACAGGAAGGCATGGGCAGGGAGACACCCACCGCTGCCTGAAGTCGGCATAGAGCAGCCTGTTGGGGAATCCTTGGCGACAGATCCGGATCCCCTCCAGAACCCCATTGCAGCGCAGCTGGTGTAGCACTAAGAAGGCATCCATGACCCCTGGACATGGGGACGGTTAGAGGGTAAGGTTAGAGGGCCATGAACACCCCACCATGCCCCAGAGACAGACCACCAGCCCATAAATGGGCTTCCTATGAGACTGGTGTGGGCCGGAGGAGAGGGAAGACCCAGCTTCTAAGTCTGCCCTATCCCCTCCCTCTGATGCCCCCGCGCCACCCACCCAGCCTCGGGGTGACTACCTGGGGTCTTGTTCTCATTGGGGACAATGCAACGGACAAAGTGGGGCTGTGTGGCCCGCAGGTTGGTCATCAGCTTGTTGAGGTTCTCCTGGGGGTGGGAGGAGAAGGCACAAGAGGGGCAAGAAGCAGAATTGGAAACCATAGTGGATCAGCCTGCTAAGGACTGGAGAGCCAGGCGTCTGAGCATGCCTCTGCACACCTGTCCTTTCACTCAGCTCCTTGTGCCCCTCTTCCCTCTTCTGCTTGACTGGGTCCCTCTCACTGTCACCGAAGTCTTCACTCCCCCCCCCCATCTCCATTCTCTCCCATCAGTCCCCCCACCCAGTGGCCCCACAGCTCCCTGCCCAGGCAGCATGGGGACGGGAAGCAGCACAGACTTGCTGTGATGTTCACGTGGAGAGGAGTTAAACATCACTGCAAGTCTTAACGGCCGCCCGCCCAGGGTGCAAGGAACAGAGCAGGGTTAGGGATGGAGCCCAGCGGGGGAGGGCCTGCTTGGGCTGGCCTGGGCCTCACCTTGTGCAGCTGGGACACGGTCTGGAAAGACGCTGCCTTCTTACGCTTCTCCTTCACCCCAGACTTGGGGGGCTCGGCTAGGAGAGAGAGGGGACCCGGTCACTCCAGGGGACGTCACTCTGGGAGTACCCAACAGGATGGCGACATTGTCCTGTACTCACTGGAGCAGGAGCCTGCGTAGTTCTCATAGAGGGTAGCCAAGAGCTTGTTCTGCGACTTTTGGAAGATAGGGACCACCGTCTCATTCAGCGGGTCCTTGTTTTTCTCCAGCCAGCCCACGATGCTGTAAGGCACCTTGCAGAGACCAGACAGGTGCTGAGCAGAGAAGGGGGTGTGTGTGCACCAAGAGCAGGGAGGAGGGCTGGGATTCTGACAGGCACCTACCACGCCCGCATAGTGGACCACCTCAAAGTGGGCCTGGTATTTGCGCTTCTTGTCAGGCCGTGGCTGCTGGAAATTGGGTGATTTCCCCGCGTGATTGTCATACAGCTTTGCCCGAAAGCTGGCGTCTGAGGCCTTGGGGAACATGCACTCCTCCTCCAGGATGGACAGGATGCCCAGTGGCTGGGGACAGGGAACAAGCCTGAAAGGCTGCCCTGAGGCCAGCCCCATCCTGGCTGGGCCAGATCCCCATATCCTAGGGCCCCTTCTTCTGGAAGCCTCCCCATACCCCTAACCCCCTGCTGGGAGGAACAGAAACCAGACAGGTACCCAGGAGTCCTGTCTTCTAAAAGAGAAGTTTGTGGTTTGGCTGCCAGGCCCCTTCTCCAGCTCTGGGCTGTCCTCTGTGCTCCCAGGGGCCCAAACCCAAACTGGCACCTGTTGCCACTCATGTCCTGACGTCTGTGCTCATTCTCTCTCTCTCTCTCTCTCTCTCTCTCTCTCTCTCACACACACACACACACACACACACACACACACACACACAGTATAATTTAAAAAAAAAAAAGCAGTTTAAATTTTGGCTTCCTCACTTACTAGCAGGGGCCCTTAGGCCTCAACTCCCTAACCTGCAAAGTGACAAAATGAATACTTTCAGTGCTGATTTCACAGCAAAAAACTACTTGAGCACCCAAATGTGCAGATAACAGAAATGCATAAAAATCACCTGCTGCATGAACTATTGCTGCTTATTCAACAACGTTCAACATTCAAAACACATTTTCGGAGAAAAACTAAGATGAGAAACAAATGTGGGTCTATGGGAAAAAATGTACACCCAGGATAAAGGGTTTGGAGACTCACCAAGGTGCCCAGATACAGGCTGTACGAGGTACAGATTTAGTGGGAAACATTTTTTTCCCTCTTCTGATTTTTCAAATTTTCTTTGATTTCTTTCTTCTCGTCTTTGTACAATGGGGACACAGGTGTGACCAATCAAATAAAGAAGCCAGTGGACCCAGTCCTGCTGCCCCAGGGCAGTTCTGAAGGTCCTAGGAAACTGTGGCTGCAGTGGAGCCTTAGGAACTGCAGTCGTGCGTGCCCATGGGGCTGCTGTCAACAGTGCTGGGGTGCACGCTCACACAAACTCACCAACACACATTCACACCACCTCCAACAAACCTACTCACATCCATGCACGCTGCCATTCACACACACAAACGGAAATACAGTCATAGGCACACTCAGATACACAAGCTCACATCAAAGCACAATCACACACGCACATGTATGCTTGCACACATTCACTCACCAGCCAGCACACATTTCCTCCTGCCCCCTCACCACACCCACACTCCTCTTTCCTTGCAGTGACTTTGGCCCAGGCCTCACCTTCTCAATGAGGTCAATGCAGGGCTGCAGGTCCAGGCCAAAGTCGATGAAGACCCAGTCGATGCCCTCCCGTTTGTACTCCTCCTGCTCCAGCACAAACATATGCTGGTTGAAGAACTGCTGTAGCTTCTCGTTGGTGAAGTTGATGCACAGCTGCTCGAAGCTGTTAAACTGCAAAGGGAGGCGCCGGGCTCAGCGGTCAGGGACAGGGAGACCCACAGAGGATCGGCGATGTGCATGACTTCATCCCCACCTCCAGGCAGAAGCCCAGGGCTCCTACCCCTCCCCACCTGTGGTCCTCCACCCTGGGAAGAACAGAGCCCAGGGGCATAAGCCTGCTCTCACCTCAAAGATCTCAAAACCAGCGATGTCCAGGACTCCGATGAAGAACTGACGGGGCAGCTTGGTGTCCAGGGTCTGGTTGATCCGAGACACCAGCCACCGGAACAGTCGGTCATAGGTGGCCTTGGCCAGAGCCCCCACGGCAAACACCACCTGGAGGTGTGGAGAGGCTGGGCTGGGACCTGACAGGGAGGAGTCCCTGCCCCAGCTGTCCCCAGGTGGGCTTGGCCCACAAGCAGCTCAC